TTTTGATAAAATGGATCCTCTGGTGAAAGATCTACCAGATTGGTGGTGAACGGCGATAACATAGACAATATGTTCTTTGTCTTGTTAATGTAAATAATGAAGCTAAAACGTCTACTATAGATCTAACACGAAAGATTTATTCGTTATTCGTCGTCTCACGCTGTTTAAATGCGCAAAAAAAGTGCACAGAATGCCTTAACACAAAAGAAAAAATGGGTAGACAAGATAGTGAGCGAAGAAAAAAGAACGGAGAGAAGAGATAAACTTGGCATGGTCAAGAGCCGATAATGCATATGAAAAAAGATAGTACCAAATGAAAGAAACAAAAATATGCTTTGCTGAGGAATAGATTCAGAGAGGTAGAGTGGGTGTGGGTAGGTGTGAGATGTGGGATGTGGGTGCGTCTGTAGGTTGCGAGTGTAGATGTGGATGTGGTCATTTGTTTCGATGTGGTTCTTGTCTTCATCCGCACCCACACCTACATCCTCGATTGATTTTATTTGGTAATGTGTTTCTTCAAATTTTTGTGAGGCGAAAATTCGTAAACAAAAATGATCGAAAAACCATAGTGTTTAACAAATAGATATTTGGGTGTGGGTGTGAGAGTGTGAGTATCGGTGTGAGGGTGTGAGTGTGGGTGTTAGTGTTTCTAGGTCAACACCCACACCCACACCCTGATACTGAACGCCCTCTTTTCTATTACAGAGGATAAGTGTAATTTATACTTAATGACGAAAACGTGTGTGTGAATTATCTCGAACAGCGCATGTATTATTTTGAATTGGTTAGACAGACAGAGAGAGATCATCATCACATATTTATTCGTACATCACATACACTCTCTCTATTAGAAAAAAGAATTATAATAAAATTTTATCAATGTAAATCGCATTATCTAACTGTCTACCATTATATATTACATTGGTGTTTTTTTTTATTAGGTTGAGGAAAAAGTTCGTGCGCCGTGTTAATGTGATGTAGTGACTAAGCAGTCACGTGTCTGTCTACGTGGCCATCTCTATCTATCTATTGTTCAGTAGTGCATGTACCTTCTAGAACTTTCTATGCACTCTACCCGGACATTTGACATGTTATTGCGTAATGTTATTGCGCAATTTTCATACTATATATACCAGTGTTTTCTGTTTGTCACTGTCATTTTCCCAATCTGTCACCCAGCGTTCACTTGTAAATAAACCGGCTCTTCTGAATCGTGTTATTCTTCTGCTCGACATCAATCTCGGCCTGAAGACGTGACAGTTAAAATAATGATTTTTTATATATTTTTTTTTTGTGTTTTTGATCTGGTTTTGTGGCTATTACGAAAATTTATTGATTTTTTTAAGATGTCTGATTACGAAATCACAAATTTTGAGCTTCACGTATTGCTGCGTCATTATTGGAGAAAGAATTTGGATGCAAAAGCAGCTGCCAAAGCAATTTGCGACGTTGAAGGTGAAGGTACGGTGGCACCGCGAACTGCACAGAAATGGTTCAAGCGTTTCAATGAAGGCGATTTTGATCTTGAAGACAGGCCACGTTCCGGACGACCAACGGTTTTGGACGAAGGAGATTTGCAAGCCGCTTTGGATGTTGAGCCGTTATCAAGCACATGCGAATTGGCTGAAGAACTTGGTGTCGATCAGAAGACAGTTTGGAATCATCTCAAGCAACTTGACTTTGTCCACAAAAAGCCACGACAAGATCCACACGAGTTGACCGAAGCACAAGCCGCCAAACGAGTCGAAATTTGCCGCCAATTGCTCAACAATCCGTTGGATGACCGTTTTTGGAAGCGAATTGTGACATCAGATGAGAAGTTGGTCTACCTGGTCAATCACGATCGAAGCAAGCGATGGGTCCCAAAAGGTCAAACTCCTCCATCCGTTCCGAAGCAAAATCAATTTGGAAAGAAGATCATGATTTGCGTTTGGTGGAACTTCGAAGGAATCTTGCATTTTGAACTTGTGCCGAATGGTGGCGCCATCAACGCTGAACTTTACTGCGAGCAACTTGATCGAGTCTACGATGCGCTGGTTGAAAAGTACCCAAGTCTTGTTCGTCGAAAACGCGCTTTGTTTCAACAAGACAATGCAAAGCCGCATACCGCCAGAAACACCAGCAAGAAGTTTGAAGAATTGGACGGTGTCGAAGTTCTGCCGCATCCAGCCTATAGTCTAGACGTTGCTCCATCTGACTACGGTCTCTTCCGATCAATGCAGCACTTTATGAAAGGTCGCCGATTTGAGTCCTTCGATGAAGTTGAAGAAGCATGTCAAGAATTTTTCGATTCAAAGCCGAAGGAGTGATACTTTGACCAAATTCGAAAGCTTGCAGATCGTTGGCAGAAGGTCGTGGACAATGATGGTCTTTATTTTGAAGAATAGTTGTTGTTGTTTTTGAATAAATTCATGCATAAAAAATCATTATTTTAACACGGGGCACGAACGTTTTCCTCAACCTAATACAACCTATGCAAATTAAAGTTGAAACAATAATACAAAAACCACAAGCAACGGTACGGTATCTAGATATCATATTTAATAATAAACTCAACTGGAGATCTCATATCAAGCATATAGAATCCAAATTGGCATCTCGAATAAGTCTTTTACGCTTTCTGTCTCGTTCTACTTCAGAACCAAATATTAAAACAATGTTAAATTTGCTCAAATCTTTAATTAGAACAATTATGACGTATGGTTCTCATATCGTATTAACAGCAGGTGATAAAATTTAGTAATGGCTACAAGTGGTACAAAATAAAGCCCTAAGAGCAGCACTTGAAGTACCATTTTATACATCTGTAGAATACATTCATCGGCTTAGCAACATCCCAAAAATTAAGGCACATGCTACAGTCTTACTTAAACAAGCAATTTCAACAGCTCAAAATTTTAAAGATAAAATATCCGAAACAAATCTAATGCACATTATGTTACACCTATAAAAAAAAAGAAATCTAACTGCCAAAAAAAAATTATTTAGGATATAAGATATAAAGTCAAGAGCCCTATACTTTTTCTTATGTCCTCTTTCTTGCGTTGTTATATGTACTGCAGATTTATTAGTAAATAAATCGTTGGAACCTCAAGTTTCGTTCTACAAATTGATGTATAAAAACACTTTCTTAAAATTTGAATTAAGATAGTTTGAATCAAAATACAAAATTTGACTACATTAAATATTCTGTACAAATGTTAGTTTTGGTTTTCATCAAAAGTTTGCCCTCAATTAGTCAACTTCAATTTAGAAAAAAATTCTGATCATATATTTAGAGAGAACATCAAATTCTGATTCTAACCGGAGTATTTTCATTTTCTCAAGTTATCTCTAAATGATCGAAAAATAAACAAACATTTTGTATCAAGATTTTCTCGACAGAAGTTATTTCGCTCTCATCTAATATCCATTTCAAAACAGAAAAAGGTTGGATATTTTTTGAATAACTTTTGATAGAAACAAGATAGAAAGGTGCAGTTTTCACCGTTCGAAAGACGAACTGAAACTGTATTAAACTGTATATATCACATTTTTTCTAAAATGATTTCTCAAGGTTTCTGGTCGAGTTTATCGAAAACAAAATATTTAGTCGTGTGAAAGTACCGACAATTTGGTTTTCAGGAGTGTATTAGAACCACCAACTAAAGGTCTTCAAACTATGCAAACCCGACTTTAGTAGTTCCAATCTATCGTGAGTTATATGTTTTACTAAGATTTTTTTACATCGAATTTTCAGGAAAAATCGGCTTCTTTTCGTACTTTTTCACAAAAAGTGCGTCGTTTCTACCTATGAAAAAGCATCAATTTTTTAGAAAAAAGTCGACTGAAAACCTTGAAAAACCTCTTTGGAAAAATGTGATATATATAGCTCAATGCATTTCATCTCGTCTGTCGAACAGTGAAAATTGCACCTTTCTATCTTGTTTCTATCGAAAGTTATTCAAAAAATACCCAATCTTTTTCTTTTTTGAACTGGGCATTAGTGCTGATAATATCTAAATAATGCTTAAGATTTAACAGCTATGCATCAAGTATGGCTCGAACAACATCATGCTGAACTGAAATCCTATCGGTTGAAGAAGTAATGCAGGAACACAAATTCTTTGATGTCGACAAGCTTTGGTCAAAAGTTTTAAATACTGTAGTGAGCGTAAAATACGATTTTTTTTTACAAAAGATACGCTGAGAAATTTTCAGTTCCCAGTAACTGATAACGGTAATTTTCCTCTTCTAGTTTTGAGTTTAAATCGCTACTATGACTGTCACTGTTATCATTACATCCTAAAAAATACGAAGAATCTTACTAGACGGTTCATCCAACTTCTTCCTCTTGAATATCTAAAACTGTTCATGCGTTAACACTTGACACGTTAAAAAAAGTTGCATTATGTATCCTAGTTATACATATCAAGTGTCAATAGATGACCGATTTTAGACACTTCATTAAAATAAATGTAAGATATAGACGCTAGATATGTCTTGCCTAAGTGTTTTAATTTTTTAGAGTCAAACAATACCCTCTAACGAATCTTTTTGCTTTTTATTTTTTACTTCGGATACTCAGTCCTTGCACATCTGGAAAAATATTTTTTTTGCATATTATTTGATCGTGCAAAATTCACTGTCAAATACCAAATATATTGACTGAAGAGAATAAAAACAAACAAGAATAGCAAGAAACAAAAGGAAAATCAAAAAAAGAAAACAACCAAAGTAAATGTCACTACATTACAGAGTTAATTAATCGTAATCTATTAGACAGTAAACAAGAAAAAGAAGCATTAACAAGAAGCTGTGTCTGGTGATCAGTTAAGCATTTAAAAATCGTATTGAATTTGGAAGAATCTTTCAGATGCAAGAAGTCAATAATGATATTTGGTTGCTTGATTAATTGTATTACAAAAGCAGATCTATTTCTTTGAGTTTAAAGCATCATGATTAGAAGAAAAGTGAGAAATAAACACAAACAGATTGATCGAATGAAGTAATCTTGTTTATCAATGTCCAGTTCCAACAACACTTGGATTCCAAATACCTTGTCTCAGCATAGCTTCATTACCTCCTGGCCATGGTGGCATTGTAATTGCTACTGCTACAAGAGTTCGTCGTCCAATTGTACGAAATTGAAATTGTGTACCAACTGGTATAGTAATACATACATTAGCACCAACTGTTACAATTTCTTCTCTATCATTTTGTTTACGCCAAAATTCACCATGTCCAGATAGAAAATACCATATTTCAGAAACAGTTCGATGTTCAACAGCATTTGATGTCATTCCAGGAGGAAGAGAAAATTGTGCCATACTACCTCCAATTGTTGTTAATAAATTACGAACTAATGATCCATCAGGTGCAACAACATCAGGATTACATGGTAAACGTTTAGTTTGAAATGGAGGAATAAAAGATGATTGATTATTAGATGTAGATGTTTCTGTTGTAAAGCCTATTGTCCGTGAATCTAAAGAAAGATAAACAGAGAGTAAATGTTATTGAAAGAATAGAAAGAAGTATTTACCAAGTTTGTTCAATTTTTTAGCAATATGATTATCAGTAATTATCGTATGAACTAAAGAAGAAACATGATTTTGTCCAATCGATCTTGACTTCGTAACAAAACTTACCTGCAGCTCCTCGATATTGGTTGTCTACAGTAGAAATGGATGTAATAGATTGATTATTATGAGTACTTTGTAATGATATTTGACTAGTGAATTGTATATTGCAGAAAACATTAAAAATAATAATAATAATAATAATATTGGTTAACATTATAGACAATTGTATTTGAAAATAGGAGATTAATTTAAGAACTATATCGTATACAATAATATGAAACAAATAGAAACAAAATGATTAAATACTATTGAGGCAAAAACAAAAAAAAGAAACAATAAGAACTTCTATTATTTCCAATTGTGACTATACAATAAAATGCGCTTAATCAAAGGAAAAACACAGAATTTCTTGTAATTATCTAGGACTGATAATGAATAAAATAATTAATATCGACAATAATCAGGTTTTAATGGACCATCAGAATGTACATCTATCCCCCGAGCAAAATAAGTGGTACACCTAGTTTTCAATATTTAGTTATCTAAAAGGTGGAACTTATATCTCATATTTATACCATAAATACTATGTGGCAGTGCCTAACTATATAGAGTGTTTCATAAGTCTTGGGACACGACAAAATTTATTGATATGGACACACAGAGCAATGTCCAACCATTATGTTTCTATATCAAATTCGAGTACTCGTGATGATCTTTCAAATAATATATTATTGCAGAAGATCTTTCCTTATAATAATAAAAATATAAACATAATAATGTAATGATGAATTTTTCGAAATCGACCACCAACCCAGTGAAAAATATTGATCAACATAAACGGTAAAGAACGTGTTCCACTTTCGTAGAAAACTTTTTTTAAGAAAAAAAAACGCTCTACATAAAAAGTGGAATGCGTTCCAAAATGGAACGGTCAAGAATGCGTTCTCACCTTTAAGAAATGTTCTCTTTTCTTATAAAAAAAGGGCTTTCACGTTCGCGGAACGCGTTCTTCACTATCACAGTTTAAAATGATGAAAAACGTGATCCAATATCAGTTTTTCCTATGAGAATCCCCGAGGAGTTCCAAATGATTGATAAAACCTCAAAGGGACATTTGAAAAGCTAGGTAAAAAAAATGAAAAATCCTTATAGATTGCCTAGGGGCTACGAAGCTCCAGCTCCCAGGCAATCTGCAAGGATTTCTCGTTTTTTTTGCCTAGCTTTTCAAATGTTCCTTTGAGGTTTTATCAATCATTTGGAACTCCTCGAGGATTCTCATAAGAAAAGCTGATCTAGGTTGCATTTTTCAACGAAAGAATATGAGAAGAGATTTATTAGATTTTTAAACCCATACACAAACCCTTAACAAAGATAAATCGGGACACCGTTAAATCTACCAATAAAATTTATATACCTTAACTAAGAAGCATATTCTTATCTAAAACAAATTCAACAAAGAAAATATTTCTCTATCTACTCAATCTGAAATCATGGGTCACTGCCTATAATTAAACCCCACGGAACAAAGCTGACTGCTTCTCTTAAGATGGAATAAAAACTATCTCTAACTCTACTAGATGGAAAAATGATTGTTTTTAATAGAATGGAATGAAAAATAAGAAAAACTAACTCTAACTCTAATAGATGGAAAAAATGATTATTTTCATTGGAATGAAATAAAACTAGATGAATCTTAACTCAATCTTTACCATATAAAAAATGATTTTTTTTATTAAGATGGAAAATAACGAAAGGAAAACTAACTCTAATTATACTAGATGAAAAAAAAATGATTTTTCTGATTAAAATCAAATAAAACTAAAGAAACACTAACTTTATCTCTATTGAATGAAAAAAAAATGACTATTTGTATTAAGATCGAATAAAACTATAGATAAACTAACTCTATCTCTATTAGATAAAATATAAATGACTACTTCTATTACGATAGAATAAAAGCAAAAGAAAACAAATTGCGAAGTATACTAATTCGTCAAGCATATCATTTAGTTTTACTCAAAAACAATAGTGAATCTTTTCACCTATGCACAACGTCATTATCAACACAAAATGATAGAAAGTGCAAAAATATGTACAAACTTGTTCTTTTCTTTTGTTCTGTCCTGACTATTGACGAACGTTGCAATGGAAGGTGGAGATAATATTTCGATCGCATTTGCAATGTTTATCAATAGTGAGAATAGGACAATTTTATACATATTTTGCACTTTCTATCATTTTGCGTTGAGAATTACCGTGTGTATATAGGTGAAACGATTCACTATTGTTTTTGAATAAAAGAAAATAAAATGATTGGCGAATTAGTATACTTTGCAATTTGTTTATTTTCTTATATCTTGTCGAATAAAATAAATAAAGCAAAACTAACTCTAACTCGACTAAGATGAAATAAAACTAAAGATGCATTAATTTATCTCTATCGAATGAAAAAAATGATTTTTTTGATTAA